CGTCAGCACAATGAGCCGTTGTTGATACGGCCGCAGCAATTTTCCAGTTTAATTTATGGCCGCCACACCCCATTAGCGGCAATAAATGTGGAGCCCGGTTTTGCCGAAATTGTGAGTTACGATTTTTCAAATAAATACATTTTCCTATAAACCAGCACTCTGTTTAGTTTGAATGTTCCTCGCAGACACATCCATCTACATAAAATACACAGGAGAGGAAGCTGAGCTGTGACTTTGCTCTGATGACATAAAAACTTTTGTAAACACAATGTCATTTACAGCATGAGCAAGGAGAGAGGAAAAAAATAAACAGCAAGTGCCTGGCGCATCCCTTCAGGAGCACATGGAAAATTTAATAATCTTTTTTCCATAAAGCTTTGTTTTCCTTTTGATTTATCCAGACAGGGCAGTGGCTGCTTGGCCATAAATAGATTGTATTTTTTGAGAGGCAATGATTGCAGTCATCCTTTATGTCGCCGGAGGGGTGGCGCAGGAGGTGTGTGTACAGAGAGATGCCGTGGATTGCTGCTGAGAACAGGAGCATCCGGGCTCAGCACAGCACAGCCACCACCACGGCAGGTACCCGGCTCACCCCCAATTCCTCCTGCTCCTTTGGTGGAGCTTTGACAGCCTGAACCCCACTTGGGGTTGCGTGTGTGATGTTGTAGGATTGAGCAGCCCAGTGACGTAGTTTGGGGGACGTGGGTAGTGTGCGGGCGCAGAAGTGCATAAGCACCAGCACACGTGAACTCCCCTGTGCCCCAACGCTCCCCCAGCCCCTACAAGACGTGTGCTGGCGCAGCAAGACAGGCGTGGCAAACCCTTCTGGGGAGGAGGGATGCCTTGAGTGGGCTTTCGCAGCCGTGGTGCTCGTAGCCCAGCCTTGGCCGTGACCCCGGGGCTGGGTTCATTGCTGGTCAAACTGACTTGATTTCGTTCACTTCTGCAGGTTCTCTCCCTCCTCACATCACCGGGAGGAAAATAATCCCCCCAGAGCAGCGACATGCATGCAGCCAGCTCCACACACCTCTCCTTGAAGCAGATTCTGCTCGTGCCTCAGTTTCCCAAGGCTTTTTGCAACCGTTCCCCCCAGGCCTCCAGCAGTAGAACTGTTAGGAAGGTGCTGAGTGATTATTATTGCATTATTTCGGGCAAGTGCTATAAATACCCAGGGGCACCTTTAGACACAACCCAGCTGCCCGGGGGAGCTGGCTCAGCCCCACTCTGCGCCTGTGGCGGCTGTCAGAGGGGGGGATCGGAGGCAGTGGCTGATTGTGGAGGTACCTCGGGGCACAACCTGATGGGGGGACACAGGGGGGGCTGCAGGGTATTGGGGCTGGGACATTCCCAGCTGCATACTGGGGCTGCGGCGGAGCCTGGAGTGGGGAGGGATGCGGGAGCAGGAGGGTGCCGGGATGCTGCAGGGAGACGCTAGCAGGGAAGACAAGGGGAATATTTTACGGGGCTGCAATGTAAACAGAGCTGGAGCAGAGCCCCTTTTTATGGAGTCCCTGTCCTGCCAGGGCATCTGCCAAGACCCTGATTTACGCTCCTATTTAGATAAGGGAGCTGGAGCGGGGGGGAGCAGAGCTGGCGTCAAAGTCACAGGACACCCCGGGCTGCCGCTCGCTGGGTGCTGAGAAGGAGGTGGCCGAGGGGCCGGGGCCAAAACTGCAGCCCCTGTCCCAGGGCAGGGGTTGGGTGCGGAGCTGGGTGGCTCCTGCTGGGGCTGGGGTGTTGGGGGCTGTGGAGACCTGGGATAACCTCACCCCCCAATATGCGGCACCGGCCCCCCCTCGCCATCACCCAGCCATGAGGGCAGGAAATCTTTCTCTGGGAAGGATTTGAAGGAAAACAGGTGGAGAGAAATGTGGTTCCTCCCGCCATGCCAGCCATAAATCGCCTAATCCGAACCGCTCGGCGTTTCCCCCCTGTGCGAGCAGGGAGACGTGAAATTAAAGAAACTCACCAAAAGTTTGAGAAGTGCTAAATTTGGACGCCATGACAAAGGCAGTCTGGTTTGATTTAGAAGGTGTCAGCATGAAAAGGGCTCCGGTTTTATTATTTTATTAAAACACAAAAGATTAGAACCATTTTCCAAAGGAAAATCAACCGGCTGGTCCCACTATTTGCTCAGCTGAGCACTTCCAAACTGCACAGGGTCTGTGGACCTCCGGCGGGGGGGGGGATAAAGCAAGATAATGCCCGGGCTTGGGCCGAGCTTACCTGGCTTGGCGGCCAGAGGCTGCAGGTGGCTCTGGTGCACAGCTCGAGGCAACAGCTCTGAGCTGGACACGGCTGTGAGTGCCCTGTGCAATGCCGGGCTATGGGGATGGCATTTATTTTTTGGGGGGGAAGGGTGTTTTCCAGGGATGGGTTTGGGTGGCACAGACCCCAGTCTGGCGGTTTGCTGGATCAGGGCTTTTAACAGGGCTGGGGAGAGGCTCAGCGAGGAGCTTGGCTGGTTTGTAAGCGGGAGCAGGGCACTGCAGGTGATGCTGTGCCGGCATGGGGGGGGGCTAGGCATGAAGCGGTACCCCTGAACCTCTCCCAGATGGGCACTGGCTCCCGCTGGCTCCGAGCCGGGCTTAAGGATCTCCCCCAGCCATGGGTGTTTTGGAGGAAATCGGGGACACGACGCCCTAGCCAAGGCCTGACTCTAACGGGAGAGTAATCACTAGCAAATGTTTGCAGGGCGCTTGTTTAAAGGGGGTGGGGAAGGGGGGGACATTGCAGCAGGTAAGAACAAAGCTGGGGAGAGCGGAGCTGGGCAGATCCGGTACGGCCACCCCCCCACCAGCCGCCGGGGCCCAGCAGAACCGGAGACCCGCTTGCACCCTGCCCCGGCCCCCCCGGCCTCCTGCCTTTGCAACTCGCCTTGTAACAACTAACGATGGAAAATCCGAGGCATTTAAGTGGCTCCCGAATCCGCCCGGGAACCGTGATTGAGAGAAGTCAAATAAAATTTGTCATCTTTAAAATGCAGGAGGACGTTAATGGTGTGTTAGCCCGGATGATTAATACAAGCGCCTGCAAACAACCCTCCAACGTTTCCACCCTCCACTGCAAGATGAATCGCTGGAAAGCGCCGTTAATCGCTAACATACCTTGGGCCCAAAGCCCCTTCCTGCCCCGCCTCGCTGTGATCGCCACTGCCATGCCCAGGCTGTCCTCACTGGGAGTAACTGGAGCAAAAGCAGGGGTCGGCCCCAGCATCACCCGGCCGGGCTGGGGGCAAAGCACAGGGTCTGGGAGCCATTGCCCTGGGGATCTGTCTCCCGTGGGTGCAGAGGCAAGCGGGACGTGCTGTCCACTGCAGGGCCCCACGCAGGGCTCGGGTTTGGGGGCTGCGGTGAAGTACAAGATCCCAGCCCCAACGGAACCCCCCGAGCCCTTTCGTGGTCAGGCTGGGACAGGGAAACGCAGGGCAGGTCCCCACTGTCCTATCGTAAATATCTTTGTGTGTGTGGATAGTGTAATTTTTATATATTTATGTGTGTGTGTGCAGTGTCTGTGCACGGATGTGCAGCATACACGTGTGTTTATATGCCACACATGCAATGTGTATGTGTGTATACACAGTATTTGTGTGCAGCACGTGTGTGTATGTCATATATGTATGGTGGCATTGCGTGTGTAGTGTATGTGTGCTGCTGGTGTGTGTATGTAATATATATGGGTGCAGTTAAGCGCATGTGTGTAATGTATTTGGGGGGGGTGTGTACAGCGCAGATCGGTGTGCGGTGTATGCATCACCTCTATGTTTGTGGTATGTGTAGGCAACGTGTCTGGTGCGTTTGTGTGAGCAGCGTATGTGCGTGGGGTAACTGCATACGTGTGCAGCGTGCCTGCGCGTGCAGCGTGTATTTGCGCAATGCGGGTGTGTGCTGTACACGCGTGCAGCGTGCCTGAAGGCGTGCAGCATACATCTGCGTGCAGCGTGCATTTGTGCAACGCACGTGCGCGCACGGAGCACGCGTGGGCAACGTGCCCCATGTGCAGGGAGCCCACCCCGCCATCGCTGCCGCCCCCGCCATGCCCAGCCCGGGGGCGCCCAGCCCAGCCTCCCTCCAGCGCCTTCGCCTCCTCCTCTCCCCCATCACCCAACTCACTCAGCGGAGGCTGCTCATGCCCCGGCTCCGGGTGCGGCACCGAGCACCCCGCACTGCCCGGCCCGCTCCGCCGCCTCCCCGCGCTCCGCTCCCACGGGGCCGAGCCTCCCCCG